AGTCAGTCAGTCAGTCAGTCAGTCAGTCTGTCAGTCAGTCAGTCAGTCAGTCAGTCAGTCAGTCAGTCGGCTTGATCAGGAACAGATGGAAACAGAGCATGGGAAAATTCAGTTTACGTAAGGCACTGCTTGAATGAAACTATCCTGTCCTAACTGTTGCTCTGAAAGGGGCTAGCTTCAGACGATATAGCCATGTCTCATCTATTCTGGTACCAGAACACCATGCTGTACTTATTTACTTCATCTGATCTGCATATTTCAGATTGAACAACCGAGCTATACGATGCTTGCCCCGGCAGAAAGCGCCTGGGAAGATGCCGGTGTCTACTGTGGGCACCAGCCATTGCCTAAATTCGTTTCGCACACTGACCGTTTAAGATTAGTGTTCAAATCAGACCGTAGCATTACTGCTTCTGGTTTCAATATTTCATGGATCGCAGGTATGCATCAATATTGACTTAATTAAAGAAGAGCTGAAAATGAAATAATTGTTAAAATTGAACCGTAAGGACTTGCCATTAGGTCAGGTAGTGGTTATTAAAAAACTGGCCAACCACATTTTTTAATGTCAACTGTTTGTTTTTTTTTTTGCATTATAGAGAATTAACGGTATCATGCACGATTCTGCACCGCTTTAACCTGTAATTCTAAAGAACTGAGTGACACCTGCTACTGGTGGATACTATTTTTTATGTATTTTGTCTAGCGCAAGCAGCCATCTTCTTCCCTTCACGAAGAAGAGAATAAAATAAAAATTTCAATGGACATTATTCAGATGTTGATATCACCAGCGGCTTCAGTTCGGCAGTCATCGTTTTTTTGAAGAGATGTAGCTCGACATCGATCCATTTTAAAAACGTATGGTGATTCCCACTCCCTTGTTACACTGCCTAATTAACTGGCAGATCTTCATATGTACAACAGTCGCTAGAAACAGTACTATAAGCGTCATTTCGCCGCCTTCTGTGAAATCCATTACGCGAGCACCACTCTTATTGTAGTTTCTTCAATGAATGCACTGCACACCGCATGTTGGGAAATTGATACTGTCAGTCATTTTTCTAAAATTTGCATACTCTGCTGTATTTTACTCGACTCAGATGAGTCAAGGCGGATTAGAGCCGAAAGACGCATGCGTCTAACAACATGACCGTTTGTCTTGCGCCTTTGACATAATCACACCAAAGCACAGTGCTGTTTCTATTTTTCGCAGGTTAGCATCCTGCTACCAGTTTTTCGACTGACTGCACCACAGCACAGTTGCATGAATCCCTGGCCAAAGGGAATTAATAATCAATAAGAGAAAATGTACAACCCCAGCAGAGCTCGAACCGTTACTGTAACCGTAAGTGCAAAGTAACCGATTAACTCATTACGCTACAGTCCCCACCCTCCCGATTGTTTACAGTAAATACCACTGAGTCACATTTGTCATTGTCAACGTCATTTGCGGCAGCAATGTTTTAATAGGAAACTTTCCGAGATTGGTAACACTATTGTCTGGTCAAAAGTAGAGAGTGAAACAGACAGTTCATCATTAGCCACTTCCGATTGGCTCTAGGCCTGCTGCATAAGAGCCTCTGAATATGGAACTTCCATTGTTCAGCGATTAATCAGCCCGTCTGTGCGATTATATTTTTCACGGTTTCTGTAGTTTGCATCTGAAGAGTCGTCTGTGTGGCGATTGTAAGACTCATAAGTCAGAACACCACGAAAAACCTTTGTTTGTTCTCTCAACACGACTACACAAAGCAGTTCTGCATTTGTACTAGGAAAAATACAATAAGTGGATATAACAGATGTATGGCTGTTCATATTCAAAATTCTTCATCACTTTCAAGGTTATAGCTTTCCGTCTTGTTGCGCCTACTAAAGCATAAATAGAACTGATAGGTCTGAAAAACTACCTTAAACTGAGTATCAATATTTCCAGAATGTGGAGGAATCTTCAGACGGGCGGATGGCTTTATTTCGTCTCCGTTTTACCCTAACAAGTACCAGCCAAACATGTACTGCGAGTACATAATCGAACCAGGTGATCGGGCGTTCATTGCTTTTCAGGTGTTGAACCTGAACCTTGAAGGTAACCTTAAGGACGGGTTGCATTTGCGTTGTAAAGTCTTTTCTTTCAGAAGAGGATGAAGGCACGTGCTACGACTACATTGAGGTGATCGAAATGAAAACCAATAGATCAAAGGGCATTTTCTGTGACAGAGAAATTCCGGAGGTAATCAGTTCATCTGGACCGATGAAAATTGTGTTCCATTCGGACGAAGTTTTGGAATATCCCGGTTTCCTGGCTCATTACTGGGTGTCAGGTAAGATATTCCAATCGTTTTCCCTTCTGCAAGGACTGTGTCAAAGACGGTACTTTGTTCTACTAATTGATACTAATTAAATCTGTTAATTGATCGACTTTGTAACTGGGGCTGTCAAGTTTGTGCTCATTTTAATTAGATACTTGATGAGGACAACTGTTTCTCTGGGCAACTTTATTCTAACGGACGAGTCTCACTTCCTGTGCAAGTGTTGGCGTCAACGGTGCCTATCGAAGTGGCCAGGCACAAGATGTGGCACATTCCTTGCAGGCGCTGGACTACGACCTCACAAAAATCAGTCACTCTATTCTCTGTCTGATCGATTCTAAATAGAAAGAACAATTAGAGTTATAGCAGAACTGTTGTCAAGTTGAAGAGGATCAAAATTTTCGTTGCTAATTTTCGTCTTAGTTGATTTGCTATATCCAAGTTTCAGGTGTTGACTATGTGTCTTAGGGTTAACCCTAATAAGTTTCATTCTTTTTGGGTAAATATTAAATATATCAATACTAAAATACATCAGAAGCGAAAGTAATAACAAATATGCTTGAAACTTAGTGATTAAAAAACGGTTTGTGCTGAAATTTACTGAACACTGATTACGCTAATGCACTAAATGTAATGTACTAACATTCTAAATGTATTTAACCATAATAGTAATTTAAAATCATGTGCTGGAAAACGGGAACTGGGAAGGAAGTGTTTACCGATGGTGAAACAGCTTTTTGATCCCTTCGGTCCATTTTGTAATTTCGCTCATTTTTACTCGCTCAAATATTTCTGAGGTGGAAGCAACAATATTACATTTATTTTCTTGTTACGAAGTTCATGAGTGCTAGACGACTAACAACTTCGTTTAGAGTGTGGCGGAACGTTCTATCTGTCAAGCCATAACCAGACGCTGAGCACTGAAATATCGTCCCCTGTTCATCCGGCTGCATACCATAATAACATGGACTGCTCGTGGCTGATAAAAACGGACAGCAATCGCATTATAAGTTTCAGGCAAGGCGTTGCATCTAATGCCTATTGCAATAACTGTTTCTTTGATAATTTTTTGCTTGGTTTAAACAACCCGTTAGCAGAAATTATACTTATTCAATGTGTATTAATTAATTTCTCTGCTGCGCGAAAACTTGGAAGTTGTGAGGAGTCTGCTCCGGTAGGATGATGCGGTGGTTCTGCCCATCACTTTCCAATGTTTTCTTTCGCGACCAAGACCTCACAAACCACTCCTCTTCTCTGAATCAGCTGGACTGAAGGAAGATTGTGCTGATCTTGACCATAGTTCACTGGTGTTGTTATCCAGAATGAACTGACAAAGAATTACTTTGCGGGAATGCTCG